TTCTGGCTCAAGGCAAGACATCAAGGAACAAGACACGCTGCTGCATTGTACCACCCAGCTTGGAGCAACAGAAGATGCGCGGAATTGTCTTCACCCTCGGATGCGCTGTTGCGATCGTCGTAGGCAGCACGAATTGTTCTGATGGAACGGGCCAGACGTCTTTCGACATGTACATGCCCTACCACGATGTTAACATCACGGTGCCTGCCATCAATCAGACCGTGGCCGAGTACGAGTACGCTGGCGACAACGCATTGGTGGCCATCCCAGCCGCGTGCTACCAGAAAGAGGCGGCGTTCTTCGGCTCGGCGTCGAATTTCGCGGATCGCGCGCCAGACGGTCCGGACGGCATGTTCTATTTCCGCATCAGCGACCCAGACACGGAGTACGCGAAATTGGCGAGCATGACGGATTGTTCGAGCGGGTTGGTGGTGTTGTTGCACGGCACGTCAGGGGTGCGTTGGAACCCGGTGTCCTACGCCGCTGCGCTTTCGGGTCTCGGGTGGGTGGTGGTGCTCCCCGACAGCCAGTCGCAGCCCGCTGAGGTGGGGTACAAGGGCGCCATCAGTTTGAAGAACACGTCAGAGATCGACACTTCCAACTACTGCGGCGCCATGGATGCTTACAACGAGCGTGCGAGCTCTTGGTCGAAGCCGTTCATGTACTCCACAAATTCTGAGAACATCCTCAACGACGGCGCTAAGTACGCCGAGTACATGGAGCGCAACTACCGTATCCGAGCGCTGGAGATGGACGCCTTCGTGTCCAAACGCGAGAGCCTGCTGTCCGCATTCTTCGCAGCCTCTAAGGTTTTCCTGCTGGGCCGCAGCGAGGGCGGCGCGGTGGCCGGGCGCTACTACAACGAGGCCTTGCACAGCAAGCTGAGCGGCATCATCCTCTCGGGGTGGAGCTGCGACTTCAACTACTTTGTGAGCTGCGCAGAGAATGCGCGCATCTGCGAGGACCAGTGCTCCAAGGACATCCCAGTGCTGAATGTGGTGGGGGAGACCGACTCCTACTTCGCTTCGAGCAGCTCCGTGTCCGCGGACGTGGCGGCGGGTGCGACCGGGTACGGCGGCCCCATCACTGGCAATTGCAAGGCGGCCATGGACGCTCAGGGCTTCTCCGGCCACGTGGTGGTCATGGAGGGCGCGGGGCACAGTTTCCTCTACACGCACGACAACGCGTGGCGTTCCGTGCTGGGCGAGTTCTTGGCCTGCCCCACTGCCACGTCCCTGCCGTCTTTGCAGAGGCCAGGGTGCCAGGAGCAGAACGGAGTGTACACCTGCGATGCCCTCAGCGAGTCGCCCCCGTGCGTCGACTGGGAAGTAAACACGTCCGTGGCCCTCGTCGGGGCAATCTCGGGTAGCTGCGTCGCAGAGTGTTCTGATGGCACGGGCCAGACGTCTTTCGACATGTACCTGCCCTACCACGATGTGAGCATCACGGTGCCTGCCATCGACCAAACCGTGGCCGAGTACGAGTACGCTGGCGACAACGCACTGGTGGCCATCCCAGCCGCGTGCTACCAGAAAGAGGCGGCGTTCTTCGGCTCTGCGTCGAATTTCGCGGATCGCACGCCAGACGGTCCGGACGGCATGTTCTATTTCCGCATCAGCGACCCGGACACGGAGTACGCGAAGTTGGCGAGCATGACGGATTGTTCGAGCGGGTTGGTGGTGTTGTTGCACGGCACGTCAGGGGTGCGTTGGAACCCGGTGTCCTACGCCGCTGCGCTTTCGGGGCTCGGGTGGGTGGTGGTGCTCCCCGACAGCCAGTCGCAGCCCGCTGAGATGGGGTACAAGGGCGCCATCAGTTTGAAGAACACGTCAGAGATCGACACTTCCAACTACTGCGGCGCCATGGATGCTTACAACGAGCGTGCGAGCTCTTGGTCGAAGCCGTTCATGTACTCCACAAATTCTGAGAACATCCTCAACGACGGCGCTAAGTACGCCGAGTACATGGAGCGCAACTACCGTATCCGAGCGCTGGAGATGGACGCCTTCGTGTCCAAACGCGAGAGCCTGCTGTCCGCATTCTTCGCAGCCTCTAAGGTTTTCCTGCTGGGCCGCAGCGAGGGCGGCGCGGTGGCCGGGCGCTACTACAACGAGGCCTTGCACAGCAAGCTGAGCGGCATCATCCTCTCGGGGTGGAGCTGCGACTTCAACTACTTTGTGAGCTGCGCAGAGAATGCGCGCATCTGCGAGGACCAGTGCTCCAAGGACATCCCAGTGCTGAATGTGGTGGGGGAGACCGACTCCTACTTCGCTTCGAGCAGCTCCGTGTCCGCGGACGTGGCGGCGGGCGCGACCGGGTACGGCGGCCCCATCACTGGCAATTGCAAGGCGGCCATGGACGCTCAGGGCTTCTCCGGCCACGTGGTGGTCATGGAGGGCGCGGGGCACAGTTTCCTCTACACGCACGACAACGCGTGGCGTTCCGTGCTGGGCGAGTTCTTGGCCTGCCCCACTGCCACGTCCCTGCCGTCTTTGCAGAGGCCAGGGTGCCAGGAGCAGAACGGAGTGTACACCTGCGATGCCCTCAGCGAGTCGCCCCCGTGCGTCGACTGGGAAGTAAACACGTCCGTGGCCCTCGTCGGGGCAATCTCGGGTAGCTGCGTCGCAGAGTGTTCTGATGGCACGGGCCAGACGTCTTTCGACATGTACCTGCCCTACCACGATGTGAGCATCACGGTGCCTGCCATCGACCAAACCGTGGCCGAGTACGAGTACGCTGGCGACAACGCACTGGTGGCCATCCCAGCCGCGTGCTACCAGAAAGAGGCGGCGTTCTTCGGCTCTGCGTCGAATTTCGCGGATCGCACGCCAGACGGTCCGGACGGCATGTTCTATTTCCGCATCAGCGACCCGGACACGGAGTACGCGAAGTTGGCGAGCATGACGGATTGTTCGAGCGGGTTGGTGGTGTTGTTGCACGGCACGTCAGGGGTGCGTTGGAACCCGGTGTCCTACGCCGCTGCGCTTTCGGGGCTCGGGTGGGTGGTGGTGCTCCCCGACAGCCAGTCGCAGCCCGCTGAGATGGGGTACAAGGGCGCCATCAGTTTGAAGAACACGTCAGAGATCGACACTTCCAACTACTGCGGCGCCATGGATGCTTACAACGAGCGTGCGAGCTCTTGGTCGAAGCCGTTCATGTACTCCACAAATTCTGAGAACATCCTCAACGACGGCGCTAAGTACGCCGAGTACATGGAGCGCAACTACCGTATCCGAGCGCTGGAGATGGACGCCTTCGTGTCCAAACGCGAGAGCCTGCTGTCCGCATTCTTCGCAGCCTCTAAGGTTTTCCTGCTGGGCCGCAGCGAGGGCGGCGCGGTGGCCGGGCGCTACTACAACGAGGCCTTGCACAGCAAGCTGAGCGGCATCATCCTCTCGGGGTGGAGCTGCGACTTCAACTACTTTGTGAGCTGCGCAGAGAATGCGCGCATCTGCGAGGACCAGTGCTCCAAGGACATCCCAGTGCTGAATGTGGTGGGGGAGACCGACTCCTACTTCGCTTCGAGCAGCTCCGTGTCCGCGGACGTGGCGGCGGGCGCGACCGGGTACGGCGGCCCCATCACTGGCAATTGCAAGGCGGCCATGGACGCTCAGGGCTTCTCCGGCCACGTGGTGGTCATGGAGGGCGCGGGGCACAGTTTCCTCTACACGCACGACAACGCGTGGCGTTCCGTGCTGGGCGAGTTCTTGGCCTGCCCCACTGCCACGTCCCTGCCGTCTTTGCAGAGGCCAGGGTGCCAGGAGCAGAACGGAGTGTACACCTGCGATGCCCTCAGCGAGTCGCCCCCGTGCGTCGACTGGGAAGTAAACACGTCCGTGGCCCTCGTCGAAGTCGGGGCAGTCTCGGAATGCGACGAAAACGAGATCGAAGCCTCTGCGGCTGCCCGCACGGCCAGCGTTCTTGCTGCCGCACTTGGGCCGCTGGCTGTGCTGTGCTGGACAGCATAAACAGCCACTACATACCGCACACCAAAATCAGCAGCGCTTAGTTCGATCATATTTTTTGCCGCTCCTGCAACCGTTGCTGGGCGCTTCTGCAGGCCATCGGCCGCGGTTTTGTTGGAATCCTCATGATTCATCGCTCCGCTCACTCCGCCAGCCCACTTCGCATCACCATGTCTGCGCGGTGGCGTTCTCGTGCCTTTGGGGGCCTCTCGGGGGCCTCAGGGCCTCTCTCTGGGCTCTCGGGAGGCCCTGAGGGCGGCGCGCAGGAGCAGAACCGCCTCTGATGGGGACTTGCGGGGGACCTGCCCAGGGCCTGGCCTGCTCGGGGTATTTGTCGGCCGCGGACCTCCAGGGGCCGATGAGGTATGAGATGGCGCGGGCCCGACTCGGACGCGGCTCCGCTGGGGCGAGGGGGCAAGAGTGCCCGACGTGCCCGGTCCTGGCGGTCTGCGTGGAGCGCCGCGGCACTACCGAGAAGGTAGGTTGAATGGCGGGGGTGTGGCGGAGGAGGAAGAGGATGATGAGGAGGGGGAAAGGAGGATGATGAGGAGGAGAAGGACGATGATGATGACGATGAGGAGGAGGAGGAGGAGGGAATGGACAAGGAGGAGGGGGAAGAGGAAGCGAGGGGTAGGAGGAGGATAACCTGGAGGAGGAAGCGGGATCCCTTGGATGGTTGCTTCTGGGATTGAGGTGTGACATGATAACGATGCAGAGGAGGGGAAGGAAACGAAGGTGAGGGAGGTGTGCTGGAGGAAACAGAAGACGAAGACGAACATGTAGGAAAAGAGACGGGCCTGCGGAACCAGGGATAACGACGAGGGTCGAGTGATGATGATGATGATGATGATGATGATGATGGTGATGATGATGATAATGATGATAATGATGATAATGATGATGCTGACGATGCTGATGATGATGATGATGATGATCATGCTGTTGATGATGATGATGATGATGAAGATGATGATGACGATGGTGACGATGCTGACGATGATGATGATGATGCTGCTGATGATGATTATGATGTTGATGATGATGCTGCTGATGATGCTGATGATGCTGATGACGATGATGATGGAAATGACTACGAGCAGGATAAGGGGGATGAGGGTCGGGTGATGATGATGCTGATGATGATGATTCTGCCCATAAGCTTGCCCTACAGGAATCCCAGCTCATCATAAGTATGTGGTCTTTAGCCCTCCCCCGTTTCCAATGCCCCGCTTTTTTTCTTATGCCCCCTTTTTCCAATGACCCTTGCTTGCTTGCTCTTGCATGCTTGCTCTCGCTTGCTTGCTCGTGCTTGCCCTTGCTTGCACTTGATCGCTGGCTCTTGCTTGCTTGTTATTGCTCGCTTGCGCTTGCTTGTTTCCGCTTGCTTGCTTGCGCTTGCTTGATTTTGCTCCCCCGTTCTCCTCTCATCCTGCTCCCGTCCTCCTTTGGTCCTGCTCCCATCCGCCTCTCGTCCTCCTCCTGTCCTCCCATCTACTTGGAGTCAACGCTGGCTGATAGGATGATGATGATGATGCTGCTGCTGATGATGATGATGATGATGATGAGATGCTTGGCGCTGATTCAAACGAGTGCGCTTCCAGTGCGCTTCGTCATTGCGCGTGCTGAATAGAGCTTCGAGGTTTGATTCCCCTCCCCTACCCCCCTGGGGCTGGCTTTTCCTCCCTGCCTCGTTCTCTGCTTGATTCGTTATTCTACTTCGTAGTCGTGGAGCGCTTCCTTCTTCTGCTTCGCGATCGCGGGGCGCCTCGCTGTTCTGCTTCACAGTCGTGCTGCGCCCTGTTTTCACCGCCCGCCGCCGCGCGGGTGCTACCCTCAAGTTGATTGCTGGTTGCTGCTGATAGGGTGTGCCGGCCCATTCGATATCGCATGCTTCCGGGAAGCTCGCGGGGAATTTCTGCCTGGCGCCCCCTTTTCACGAGGGGTTTAACGGAGACGCGATAGCTTGCACCACATATTCGTGTCCACTGTTTATGACGACCTGTTTGCGCAGTGCTTCTGAAGACATGTTTGCCCAGCGCGAGTCCGGCTCCAGGGCCATTGCAGATTTTCGAGGCCGCGCCTTTGAACCCCGCTCTGAGTGCCACGTGTTCCACCCCTCCCTCCCTTTCTCTGCCCTGCATACCCTGTCTCGGCAAGATGAGTTTCGATCCAATTTTTGTCACAATTCCGTGCGATGCCGACAGTTGTCGCTCGAGGGTGCCATTTGCACATCAAGTCCCTCGTCTTCCTCTTCCCCCTCCTTCTCCCCCCCCCTTCCTCTCCTCCTTCCCCCGCGTAGGGTTGACATGCATAACGCAAGGGCCGTTGACCGAATGCTTGCCCCGACGGCTGCTCACGAAATGTTTGCCCCTGCGCGTGTACCGCGCGCTTTCATCGCGTGGTAGGCTGAGCGAGCTGGGGGGCCCATCGCGCTGTCCGCCCCCATCTCCCCCCGCCAAAAATGCCAAGCGCGAGTGCCCCTACGCGCTTGTTGCCGGGAAGTTGCGCTGACTGCTGCCCCGTCGTCGTCGTCGTCGTCGTCAAGGTCGTCGTCGTCGTCGTCGTCGTCGTCGTCCGCCCCCGTCGGCCAGAACCCGATTGAAATGGGCCCCCGGAACCCTCCCGGGGCCCGAGCGCACAAGTTTTCCGCGCCGCGTCCGGCCGCGACGAGGAGAGCCGCCAGGGGCCAGAGGATCTCGATCCTCGAGGCTTGAGGCTCGAACCTGGACGTCGGTGGCCGTTCGGGATGACTCCGGCACCCCCGGGACGCAGTTTGTCGGTCCCGATCGATTTCTGACGGCCCTGGGCCCCGAAAGTGGCTCCCGCAGGCTACGACGCCGGAAGCCCGCCTCGAACTTCGAACCTCGGGGGTCGACGAAAATAGCTGGCGTCATCGGAGACGCGGCCATCTCGTCCGCCACAGCGGCGGCAGCCCAACTCCACGGGTTTCAGGCGGTGGGCGTGAGCGCGGCCCCCCCGAGCTCAGCCCACGCGCCGCTTCCGCGCGGGCGTCTTCGTAAGATTTGGGCGTCTTCGGCGCCGGGAACGGAAGGGGAGGTTCGAATCTCGAGGATCGAAGTTCGACGAGCTTTTTGTCGTTTTACGCCTCTGGAAGCCGCTTTCGGGCCCCGGGATCGTCGAAAATCGATCCATGGTGAAAAACTGCTTCGGAGGGACCCTGGGAAGGGCCCGGGGGCCGATTTTAATTCGATTTCGGTCATCCTGGGAGGAGGAGGGGGAGGGCGACGACGAGGGCGAGGAGGACGAGGAGGACGAGGAGGGCGAGGGTTGGACATGACTGGGCGCTCCCGTAAGTTGACCCGGTTCGTTCGAATGTGTTTCGCAAATATTATTGGGAATCTCGTTCAAAGTAAACTCCGACCTTCCACCCCTCCAGCCTCCGCCGCAGCCGCCCGAAGACAAATAATTTCAAATTGCGGCCGTGCCCCCAAATTTGAAGCATGCCCCTTGGCGTTGCCCGGGGCCCCCCAGGAATCCCAGGGGCCCCGGCGGATTCTGTTGGTTTGTGGAGGATTCCTCGAACCTTCCATCCTGGAGGATTCATCCCTGGGCGCTCTCTTGGAGCCGTTTCCAATCAGCGGATGGCGCACCAACCGACGCGCATAATTACGCGCGCGCGTGGCGCGTGCTCACTACTGTGTTGACCGCGCTTGAACAGTCGCCATGCTGGCCTGGAGACTCAAGTGAGCCCTGAGCGGTGACCGATTGGATGTTGAACTTAACAGTGGTTCACCACCTATGAGCGAATTGGCATAACCAACGACGCGCGTGTGCGCGCGCGTGCTCAGCTGTATTGACCGCAATGGACCACTCGCCATGTAGGCCTGGAAATTCAAATGAGCCCTCAGCGGTGACCGATTGGATTTTGAAGTGATGATGGGTTCACCACCTATCTGTGCATTGGCACAGCCAACGACGCGTGCGCGCGTGGCGCGTGCTTAGTTTTGTATTGGCCGCAGTAGAACACTTGCCATGATGGCCTGGAAAATCAAGCCAGCCCTTGGCGGTGACCGTTTGGGTTGTGAAGTTCACATGGATTCGCCACCGATCAGTGAATTGGCACAGCCAGCGACGCGAGTACGCGCGCGCACGCGCGCGGTGCGCGTGATCAGTTCTGGCTTGACCGCAGTAGAACAGTCGCCATGTTGGCCTGGAAACGCAAGTGAGCCCTTAGCGGTGACCGATTGGATTTCGAGGTTGACACTGGTTCACCGCTTATCAGCGACTTAGCACAGCCAACGACGCGCGCGTCGCGTGCTCAGTTCTGCATTGAGCGCAATAGAACAGTCACCATGTGGCCAGGAGGCTGAAGTGAGCCCTTAGCGGTAGCCGATTGGTTAACATGGCTCCACCGCGTGTCAGTGAATGGGCACAGCCAACGACGCGTGCGCGCACGCGCGTGCTCAGTTCTGTGGTTCGTCAAAGAACCGTGGCAATGTTGGCCTGGAGACTCAAGTGAGCCCTTAGCGGGGACCGATTTGATTTTGAAGTGAACATGGGTTCACCACCCATCAGTGAATTGGCACAGCCAACGACGCGCGTACGCGCGCGCGCGTGGCGCGTGATCGGTTCTTGTATTGGCCGCAATAGAACAGTGGCCATTTGGGCCTGGAACCTCAAGTGGGCCCTTAGCGGTGACCGATTGGATTTTGAAGCGAACCTGGGCGCACAAACTATCAGTGCCTTGGCACAACCAACGGCGCGCGTACGCGCGCTTGACAAGGTGTCAGTTCTGTATTGACCGCAACAGAATAGTCGCCATGTTGTCCAGGAAACTCACGTGAGCCTTTAGCGGTGGCCGAGTGGATTTTGAAGTTAACCTGCGTTTGTCACTTACCAGTGAATTTGCGCCGCCAGCGGCGTGCGCGCGCGTGGCGCGTGCTCAGTTCTGCATTCACCGCAAAAGAGCAGTCGCCATTTTGGCATGGAAAATCAAGTGAGCCCGTAGCGCTGACCGGTTGAATTTCGAAATGAACATGCGCCCACCACTTATCACTGGATTGGCACATCAAATGACGCGCGCGCGTGGCGCGAGCTCAGTTCTGCATCGACGGCAATACAGGCGCCACGTTGGTCTGGAGACTCAAGTGAGACTTTAGCGGCAGCCAACGACG